AGTCTTCCAAAATTTAAATTTTCTACAAATTAGTAGTAATCGAGAAATATCGGAGGGTATACATGTATATACAAACACTAGTCAAGGTTTTGTTTACTTGATGTACCTCATTGTTGAAGTTAAGTGACTTGGGGAGGGACCTTGGACTGTTTCTGGAAACGACAAAATTGTTAGTTATTCCACTATGGGATTTATCTTCTAGGTTGTTGTCAAATGCAGGTTCCATCTTGCCTCTAAAGTTTCTTTTGTGTTCATATTATAAAGTGTGATTTTTAGAAAGGACACTTATGTGGACTCAATATCTTTCTCTGTATCCAGTAAAACATAACGCTTTCTTTCTTTAATTATAGATTCCTTGCTCACTGATGGAATCATTCATTCATTTATTGATTCATTTCTTTTCTTGGGGTGTTTTATATCGGCTAGAACAAAAAGGACTGATGCTTGTGATAGAAAACTTTGTGGTAGCATTGTAGAAAGAATTACATGGCTGTTTCGTAGTACTTCAACGCTGGTGATATGAAAACATACAATGTTCAAATAAATGACACTATGTTTGTAGCAAAGAAAATCTTGGTCGTACAAAGCCTTGCTATGCTTTGCTATGATCTTTTCATGTCTACAATTCATTATTCAGTTGTACCAAAGAGTGAAACACGGATGTAGAACATTATTTATTCTCCAAACAGTTATGTGTTATGGGTTAAAAGCTGTATACATAATGTTAATCTGCAACAGTCGCAGAAATGACGATAGTTGACCGTTTGTTGAAATTGATTTGGTATTCAAAGAATCACATGTTATCTTCAGAACTTTCTACAACTCAGATTGTGTTGAATGAATCAAACTGAATACAACTTATGAAATTCACAGTTTTATCATGACATTTGCAGAATGCCGCGGTTCATCAAATATTCCAATCTGGCTTGATGTTGCAAAAAACAGACACAGGGAAAAATAAAAATTAAAAACTTCACGACAAAGGTCTACAAAAGCATCCACTAGCACAACGTCCTAAGTTAATACAAATCACTTATTACAATCAGATTGATCCCGAAAATTTCCTCTCAAAGACTTGCTATTAGATTTTTGCGCAAGCTATGTCAAAGAATAATTCTGATGGCATGAATTAAACAAGATTGAGCATATTGATCATTGATAATTTGCAGGATACATGTCATAGTCTTGCTATTGTCTACGTAAAATTTAAGAGCTTTATTTATGTATCGTTGTACATGTACTTAAAAACGTTTTAAAGTTTCGTGTGAGTTATTGGTGTGTAAATCACAAACTTGTCACGTAGGCATATTTCATGAAGCACACTAAAACTTCATGAAAAATATTCCTACGTGCAAATTTGTGTGATTTACACTCCAATAATTCACAAGAAATGTAGAATCATTGCTTAGATTTACATTTTACACACATTTTAAAAAAAGCAAAATACATTCCATGTTTACATATATTGCTGCCCTATATCATTATATTCTTATTAACGTCTCTGTAGCCTCAGTCACTATTGCGTGTGTTTTTCCATGTATATTTCTACGCGTGAGTATACACAAAAATGGTATTCATGAATATCACATGGACAATAATTCTTTATTTATTTATTTCATTTAAAAAAAATAATGTCCACTAAATAAAGAAACTTTAAGTGTATCTTCAGCCATATCTGAAGAAGTTGGTGCATACATATATTTTGTTAATTTGATTCAAGACTTTCCCAGTTTTTTTTTTTTTTTACCAGTTTTCCTAGTTCTTCCTCCTGGCCCTTTCAGCCAACATGAATTACCCTAACTCAAAGACTCTTTATTCGTTGTAACCGACAAAAATTTTGGCAGAGAGATAGATGGACGCCTTCAGAAAAAAAATGTTGGAAATTGTCTTTAGTTAGTGGTTGTTGTCTTGAGTGAGTAAGTGGCAAAATGGGAAGAAATATACCTATGATTGCTTTTTAACATTTCTTTTTTAGATGAATTGGCATTAAAATAATGATTAGAAAAAAGAATACACGAAGAGACATCTGTAGAGTTTCAAAATTTATTTGAGTAAGGCCTCCGCTGGAAGAGGTCAATAAAACAAGTCAGCATAAACAACTATAAAACAAACTATATTTTTACAAAGAAAAGGAAAATGCTTTTATCAAATACATGTCAATGCATTCAATTCCGAGATTGTACACATCTCATAAGAAATGCATTATCAAGCATATCATTAATAAAAATTACTTGGTTGTATATTTCATGCTAAAAAGAAAAAAAATAATAATTAACTGACTTTACAAAAAGGAATATGATGCTCTGTTTAAAATGTGGTACTTACGAGGGTTGTTTGAAAAGTTCGTGGACTATGACAATCTTCGTTATACTAGCTTCATTAAATTTAAAATGAGCACATTGTCATATGTAAAAATATTAATTTTGTTTTAGTGTGAAGTTTCAATCCATAAGATTTAATAGAATTCATGTTACTGAATTTTAAAACAACGCTTTTGTAACCACAGAGTAAAATCAACAACACTGTAACGTCAAAAACATACTGACTTGATTGATTGATTGTATGTTGTTTTACGTCCCATTCGAAAATTTTTCATTCATATAGAGACGTCACCATATACCGGTGAAGGGCTTCACATGTTAACCTTTACTCGGCACTCAAGGCCATTGAGCAGTGAGGGATCTTATCGTGCTAACGCCTGCCGTGACACGGGGCCTCGGTTTTTAAGGTCTCATCCGAAGGGCCCGCAACTTTCACCTCAAAGTGCCGAGCGCATGGCGAAGGAACAAGTGCTACCTATTTTTTATCGACTTAGGTCAGTCGCGGCCGAGATTCGAACTTACGACCTACCGAACACGGAGCGAGCGCTCTACCGACTGAGCTACCACGACGGTACGAGGTTCTCAAAAATACTATCCCTATACATTTTCACAAAATATTGACCAATTCCAGTGCACTCATTCAAAACGTTTCTCTATCACTTGAAATCTATTTTGCTAACAATTGTTCCAGTAGCATTATCACTGAATTAATGTGCTTTCACAAGATTAGCATCTGTGGAGCACCAATCTCTTAGCATGACGTTACTAACTTTTCAACGTTTTCGATAAGAATTTTAAAGATAATCCGATTTCTCATAGATCACCATCGTCTAAGCAGATTAGTTTATACTTCAAACACCGTTGGTACCATGTACACACACATGCATGGCTCGCTTTTGACATATTTTCTGCTTCCTCTGTTTTCTGTTTCTGCATTTTTAGAGTTTTTTTTTTTTCTGGAGTTTTTCAGAGTACAACACAAAGTTGTACGATTAACTGCTGCTCCGTGACGTTCTACGACGTCATGATTTTGCCCTTTGTGTGTTCATTTTAAGAAAGCAAAATGTAAGTCATAATTTGGAATCAGAAACCTTGAAACAATTCTTAGTTTGAACGCGTAGAATTTTTCCGTTTTTGTGTCATTTTACAGAAGATATGACTTCAGAAATAGTTTAGTGTCTTGATTTTAAATCAAAATTTTGACCTTCTCCTTGATCCGATTTTTTTTTTTTTTTTTTTTTTTTTTTTTTTTTTGCATTTTAAAGTATAAATAAGTTTGAAATAAACCACGATATTTTAAAAAAAATAAATTCAAATCCTTTGAATTTACTGTCTAAATATTTCCTCCAAGTTAGGATATGATATGACGTTAAGTAAAAAGTTATGAGGGTAGTCCACGAACTTTCGTACAACCCTCGTACTCAACTATGCACAATATTGTTAACCAATTTGTATATAACTTAAATGTAATTATACTCTAAATAGTTTACGCATACGACATGATCATATATACATGTTAAACAGGACTATCTATAAATATAGGCGAACAAAATAAGGTACAAATAAAAACATTTAAAAAAAATAACTCAGAGTAATATAAAAAGAAACTACAATAATATTTTATATATATATATATATATATATATATATATATATATATATATATATATATATATATATATATATATATATATATATATATTGAAAACACTAATTGGGCTTGATTTTTTTTTCTTTTGAATTCAAATACATGAATACAAGAACAAATGTGAAAATTAAATTTTTTCCCTAATAAAATGGATCATTACAGCACAGAAATGGTCTTTTTTTTCTATTTGTAGGATTCACCTTAATTTGTTTGATGAATTACCAAAACCAAATACATTCTTAAAGGTCTTTCTTGCAGCAAAATCATGTTATATTAGCCGCTTATATCTTTGGTTTAGACCCGATATTTTGTAATAGCAAATTCCCAATCATAATATGACGTATTTGGAAAGTTTCGAAGCCGATATTTTTGTTTCTATATTTGTCTGCCTGTTTGTTTAATTGTTTTTGTTTGTTTGATTGTTTTGTGTTTGTTCTTTGCATTAACAAATCCATTTCAAAATTAGAGGATTTACATGTATAACACCCGGAAAAAGTACAACTAGAATTGTATGTTTTGTATATTAAACTTAAGGTGTCAGTTCTATTTATGTATCTTATTGTTATTATTATTATTATTTTTTTTTTGGGGGGGGGGGGGGTGTCATATTTTGTGGGCAAAGGCATAAAGAGAGTTTGTTTTTTTTATGTGGATTTCATGAATAATTTGATTGTCTTTATAAAAAAGCTTATTCTTCCTGAAAAAAATCATTATGTTCAGCCCTTATATGTTACAGCGTGTTATATTGTACGACCCAAATACACGACAGTACACAACAGTATATAATTTGCAAATATTGTCAGATTTTATGAGATGAATCCTTTTATTTAGGGCTTGCACAGGTTTAGAAAAGCGCGTGCCAATGTATGTACCTAGATGTAGGGATTAAGGATAATGATGGTGATGCAGGTTGCAAAATTTAGATTCAACATTAAACACAGTTGCAAATTGTAAGAAAAAAAAAATAAAAATTAATAATAATAATAATAATAAAATAGAAATAAAACATAATTCATTAATAACTTCTCTGTTGATTGAAAAAAATAAGGAATATAGGTACACGCTTCAATAACTAAGATTGTACATCCAAGTCAACACATTGACTTCTTATTGATTGTAATAAATATTTTCCGATATACTTTGAATGTGGTCATACGCTGCCTTGTATATCAACTCATATTCCTCCTGCAATGTTAAAAGAAAAGATATGAATAAATAAAAAAGATATTAGTAAATGAAATAGACAAAAATATGAGCATTTTCACTTCTTTATGGTATTGTTTTTTTTCCCAACTGAATATTCAGTTTTTATTATGTTTTATAAAGTTCAATGTACTATTATATAGCACATGCACATAAATTATGGATAAAAAACTGAATTATGGATTAAAAATTAAATATGCTGCAAAAAATCAATTTAATTCTACAGTAAAAACAAACTATAGCGAAGTCCGCTGGACCGGTGAATTTACTTCGCAATATCTGTAATTCGTAATCTCCCTAAAAAGAATTCGTGAAAGTGTATTTATCGATCTTGAGAATGAAAATGTTTTCCTGCATGGATGACTTTGGAATTTGTCCACAGAAGGAATAAATTAAAAACTTACCTTATATAACTAAAGTTGTATTGATGAATTGAATTCAGTACATAAATACTTACGTAGAAAAATGTCAGTTCAATAGTCAAAATTTGAGATCCTTGAAGATGCGTTATAAAAATGTAAATATCGTTATTTCTAACTCGAAAGGGAACTAAAACCAGTTTGTTACATCCGTAAGATCGCTATAACCCTAAATGTTTACAAGGAATTGTTAGAATTCTGTTGGGGATCCAAAAATACTTTGCTATATCCGTAAATGTGTTGTATCTGTGTTGGTAATAAACGAGTTTTACTGTACCATAATATTTTTACGGAATTACCTTGAAATGACCGTTGGCATATAATTTAAATCGATTACAAGACATCTTATGTTATTGAAGTATGCAATAACAGAACTTACAAAGTTAGTGCAGAATTCCGGTCTTCTGGTTAGAATTTGCCTTACAGAAGTAAAAACATCAACACATTCATCTATGATTATTTGTTGTATGAGGCTGTATACAGCACAAAAGACCCCACAAAGGGAAGCGCCATCTCTGTTTTAATGTATGATAAAGCAACACATATTAAAAGCTGACTCATAATAATTATGATTTAGTGGATGTTTTAAAATAATAGGGGCAATCATTTCCACATAGAAGTAAAATGTAGAAATGATTTGGATTACATCAATGAAAAGAAATCAACTCACGGTCCATGATCACATATATGATATAGTGAATGTTTTCAAATGAGATGGAAAAGGATTTAACTCATATTGAACATGACAATAATGGTTTAGATTACACAAATAAAGAATGAGAAAAGAACGTTCATAATCGACCAATTTGATATCTATTTTAATAGGGGTAGAATTAAAGAGACGTGGAGGATTTAAGCACATGGTGTAATAATACACAAATTATATTGATTACCCCAACAAAGATAACATTTCAGTTTCCATTCTTAGAAATTTATGTTTTACTCTAGTTTGCTCTTGTACCTGCTCATAACAACAACTGGGTTTTCAGTATCTGTGTGTAGTGCAGTTGATACAAGATTCCGAAGCTGTGATGTGTCCAATTGCCTTCCAGACGACTTAATTCTGCTCTTCGGTTCAACAATCCTTACAGTGTGTGCTTCACTTTCTTTCTGTAGGTTAATGGTAAGTTCACAGTTAGAATGCTAACAAACTGATGGCTATCATTTTTTAGTTAAAGACAGGACATTTAACATCTCAAAATTTCAACAAGAAAGGTATATTGATTTATTAAATACCGCAAACAATTTTACAAGTACGTCCAAGCTCTTTATTTTTTGTATAACCATATCACCAAGTATAATTTTGGGCTTTTTAATGTAAGCCCATACAGCTAGATAGGGTGTTTTAGAAGGCTACAACTTATTGCTACAGGGTCCTATCAAAAATAAAAGTGACTACTTACATTATTCCGAATAATACGAATTGTGCTGCTGGTGACATCGGTATGGGAGCATGATTGACAGTTAACCTTGAAAGGAGAAACACTGTTGGAGGATAGAGCTGAAGGCAACCAAACATAACTCTGGAAAAAATATGAAAATTTATCTATTTAAGAAAACATTTTTAAAGTATCAAAGCCTTGAAGGGTTATTTGACAAATTTGAAAAAAAAAATCAATTAATTACATGTTAACATAAATATTTTGTGGTTCATAAATTCCCATTAATTTTTTTCTGCTTTCATCCTAAGGAAGCAATACCGAAGATGGGATACATACGGACTGAATCTCTTTTAATGGGTCCATGCATATCACTGTTTCGCATTCATGATCTTTGAGTAGGCGTATGAGATCAATGGCGTCCTCTTCCGACGGATATCGTGTCACTATAAATCCTCCTGCTTTGGTGAAGGACTGAACACAAAAAAATTCTTGCATAACAATTTTGAACTCGTCTTCTCAAAAATATACTACTAAATTTAATTAAGAACATATTAGATTTTGTTTCTGACAGACGTGTACCCTTAGCAATGAAGTTTTTTCAATGAAGTTGTTTTATTACAAGCAAAAGCCAAAATCTCAGCATATTAAAGCTTAGTTCATACTTTGATTATCTTACATTTGTTATTTTCTATTCCTTCCTGTAAAGGATGATTTGTGATTTATTAATCAGCAAAAAAGATTTAATTTTCAATTAATTAAGGCAAGTGCCGCAAAACCGTTTTGTTCTCCATGTTTAACAATCTTCAAAAATGTATAGATCATCGCAACTCTTGATAATCTTGATAATAAAAATAATAATAAGTAAATATTATATTAACACAGCACATTCAACTTTTATGATCTTACATGTAATCAGACATAACGAGTCTTTTGAAGACAGAATAAGTACACTGTACTACAATCAATAAACTTACAGGCATAGAGATGGCATTTATGTAGTTCCCTCTCTTTGGAACATGTGAAGACAAGTGAATGCTGTATTTATCAACTGGTTAGAAATAGAAAAAAAAAGATTGATTGATTATTGTTGTTTTACGCCGAGTCGACAATATTTCAGCCATATTTCGGCGGAAGAAAAGAAGACCATTGCAATGCATTTTTGAATGTATTTGACATTTGAATTTTGAATGTCAGAATTCATTACAAAATGTAAAATAAAAAATAAAATGTTTAAAAGTTAAAATATGTTTTTTTTTTCTTCTTATTGGTAGTTGTTCTTTGTTTATTTTTTGTTTTTAGTTTTTTTCGTATTTATTTTCCTATTAACTCTGTAAGTAGAAAAAAAATAAGATCATAGATACAGCTAAATGTTTTAGATCTCGTCAGATATCAGAGTTCAGATATGAAATATACTTTATCCTGGATACATACGAGGTAGGATTCCATTGCGATTATCAGGCCCACAGCTTTCTTTGGCAAATTTATAATCTTCTTCAGTATAATTAGGACGAATCTTCTGTAGCAACTGAAAGTATAATGAGGACTTTGGCATATAGAGTACATATTAATGACAAAATTCTTAAATAAATTTCTTCTGCAGACTGTGTATTTTCACTGCGTAAGTGAGCTGATGACACACAACAGGAGAAAAAATTCACGTGATGAACGTATTCTATTTTGCATTTCAAATCATAAATATTGAATATTAACTTAAGCATATCAGAATTCTACTTTTTCGCCTTGAAAATAAACTTGATATAAATTTTGAATTAAAAGAAGAAAAAAGTTTCATACAATAGGGGGGAAAAGCCATTTTTTTTCCCTTCGAATCAAATAAAAGATAGTTTATATCTAAATTTTTCATATCACAGTTTAAGTACAGGTCCACGTAAGAATCAGGCAATCGGTGATAAGTCGAATATTTCATATTTGGCCAATAATTTTTCATATTATTACTTGATACAGTAGTAATTAAAATAAATTATAATTTTTCCAAAAAGGCACATCCGGGCTGTGATATGTTACTATAAACAGATCTGGGCATTTATGGGCCAAAATGTCAACCAAAAAAGAGGAAGTTCAGTACAGAAGTAACAAGTGTGGTTGCTTTTCATTAATTATCTAACCTATTTTATTTCGAGAGGAGTCTGTATCCTTCTTGTATTAGTTGTCATGGAGTTGATACCTAGGTCGTATCCATACTAACCATTGTAATTATATGTCAAGATATTTAGGATGTTACAAACATTGTAAATTTAAAACAAAATTATTAAAAACAGGAAACATATTATGTAGCTTACTACACATGGAAAAATTAAACAACCGCTCATTATTAGTTTTCCAGTTTAAAAAGTGTGGAAAAATCAATTAACAATTTTTAATGAAAAGGAAAACTATTGAGAAGTTTTGATAAATTGATTGACGTTTGACAAGATTTATTCCTAAGTGCATTGAGTGTTAAATTTAACTTTCATTTAATTATTTCTTTATTACATTTATCACATTATTATGAATTTTCCTATTCAATGTACCAAGTTTACTCTGGAATTAATTTTATATCGCTTAAATAGTTTTGGAGAGAATTATGATAGGGATCGAAATTCTGTATATTAAGTACCCAACTTTTTTTCTGTTTTTATTTTAAACACTAAAACAGCTGTTAAACCTGAGTAGATGCATCCAGTTTTCTTGTATTACTTTTTTCATATAGTAAACATGATTACCAATCACTATATATTTGGGTGATTTTTTTAATCTTTTTTTTTTTTTTTTTTTTTTTTTTTTTTTTTTTTTTTGATTTACCTTTTCAGCTTTTACCGTTTAAAGATATACACGCTATATAAACGCGATTTTTATGTGAAACAAAATGATTAAATGATTTGAGAAACATGATGTGTAATAAAAAATAATTACTTTCCACAAAGTTTTACTAAATAAGTCGTTGTAATTACAAAACAATTAAACAAGATCTGCAAATTAAGAATTCAGCCTATTCATGAATATTGAAGAAGGACGTGCGTAAACAGTATATAGACAGGCATGTCCGCGGGAAATCCTAGACAACGAGGTATGTTGCATTTTGACTACGATTTTGAATAGAAGTTAATATCTGTCATTACAGAGTAGATGGTTAATACTGATTGTTTTCAAAGATAAGCATCTTTAAGAATAAAACGTATGCCATCCATGTCAAAAGTTATTTTGTATACCAAACGAACTACCTCGTTCTCTTGACGCCATTTTTGTTTATCATTTTGAGACGATTTAATTACGTATCCCTAAAAGACATTTTTAAAGTCTTAAGCAAGATATTTTTTTTATAATTGGTAGTTTGAATAAATATCTATATCCATTTTATAAAATGGGGTGCTCCTTAATATTCATAGGAAGGATTTCCAAGAGGAAAAAAAAATACAACCGACTTTGAAATAATTTTCAAAAAGACCGAAAATTGTGGCACTTAAAACTTAATGGAAAAAAAAACTTGTTATTATATTTGGTTGACATCAAAAGGGTTTTCCCCTGTTTTCCCCACTGTTAGTTTTGAAACTACTTACCTGCAGAGTGGCCCGCGTGGCGCAGTGGTTAGAGCGTCTGCTCTAGAGTCGCGGAGTAAGGAGTTGATCCTTACGTCGCGGGTTCGAATCCCACTGTGGAACGTGGAGACCGGTCCTTCGGATGAGACCGTATAAACCGAGGTCCCGTGTCGCAGAAGGTGCTGGCACGAAAAAGACCCCTCACTGCTCAATGGCCGTAAGTGCCGAGTATAGGACAAAATTTGCAGCTCTCCAACGGCAAGTGGTGGCGTCTCCATATGAGTGAAAAATTCTCGAGAGGGACGTTAAACAACATACAAACAAAAAACTTACCTGCACATGTTGCATCACAAACTCTCTTTTTCTGAGAAGATAATTTCCATATTTCAGCAGGATTTTGGGAAATGAATCCATAAATGTAAGATTTATAATTGTGTCTTGAAATAATCACATTCAAGTGTTACATAGGCTATGTTGTTCCAAAATCGAATGTCGCATGACTCGAATAAGTCCGCATTTCCTCGCCAACAGGACTTTATGATTTGGAGTTTCATTAAACTACTGTTTGGCAATGATTGTTTGAAGTGCGTTGTGTAACGGTAAGACCAATTTTCTTTGAAGTCTGTAATAAACTCTTTTGCATCTTTGTTAACGCAGTCAAACTATAAAACTAAATCCGCATATGAAGTGTGGAACTTCGAGCAACCTGAACCCGACCAAATTTGACACCCAATGTATCGCTAAATTTCAAGGAAAGAAGATGCTTAGTTTAAAGTTAGACATTCATTAATTTTCAGTAGATTAATCAAACCAAAATAAAATGCCAAATTTGATGTTTAATCAATTTGATTCTATTTTTTCTGCATCAGCGAATTTAACAACGGAGCGTCCTCAAGCGGCAAATTATGTCATAAATCAAGAACGATATCTGAAATTCACTAATATTGGAAGTAATTATCGGGGTAGTAAACGCTAGACTCGCAATTTTCCAAACTTTTTAAAATTTAAAATTATAATTTTTAAATAGCTGATTCGTTGTTCATTATCACTTTCTCTCATCAAGTTTGCTGTTTTAATTTTTTAAGGTTTCAATATCCATACCACTGTATAGATTTGTACTACTCATTTTCATAATATTTTCTCAATATATTGCCTATTACATTAGAACAAGCGTGAACATTTCCAAATCATTGAATATATGTAATACATATGTCCTGATGCATAACCATGTGGAGTTTCAAGTGGATTCTCAAACACTGACTTATCACAAAAATTTTATTTGGCCTGATTCTTAGGTGGACCTGTACTTAAGTACTGTTTATACAATTGTTAATATTATTATCCTCTACCGAAAACATCCACACTTGAAATGCATTTTCTACCTGGAATTCTTTACGTAAAGTATTCTGATTGGCTGGCGTATCCTTTCCAGCGTTTTTATAATTTTCCTTAAAATCATCGATCATGTCTACCTTCATGGGCGCTTTGAAATCTTCGTGGAGAGTCAGGAATATGGTGATGTATTGCTCCTATCGCAAAGAATATGAACGTTAGAGAATGCAAAGACAAATAAATATTCTAAAATTATGTCTGCATAGAGTTCAAATAATAATATAGCTACTGGACATATGTTTTATTTAAATACAAAAATATTGAATATTTCTGAAATTAGGTTTTTATTAGGTGTTCTTCATTATGCTGGATAATAATGATAAATAAATTGATGAATTTATTTTTCAATTTCTGGAAAAAAAAAGTTCTGTAATATTCTCTCTGGTCCCATAAGAAATGGAACATTCTTTCATGTCTTGCTAAGAATACAATCAATATAGCTTACATAGGTCTGGACCATAGTCATTCTGTTTTCCCGCATTTTTCTGACACAATCAGCAACATTAATCTTTCCTGTATTTCTTCCTATCTGATGAAGTGTGTCCAATGCTATATATGTGCCCGTTCTACCAACTCCTGCGCTAATAACAGCAACAATTTATAAACATTGCCAGTTTATACATGTAGCAAGGTATTGCTATGATACCAAAATCCCTAGTAAGCATGGCTAATTTTGTACAGTAAGTTTGATTCGAACTTAATCTGTCCAGATAAAATTATGGATTCTAAAGAGCATGTCTGAATTATTCCTTATCTAGTATTTAAGACATGAAATAGACTAAGTGATTTTTTAAAATGATATTTAAGGTGTCATATTATGAAAGATCATTTCTCTAAACCCTTTTCAAAGATTTGGAGACTTTGTATAAAAAGTTTAAAATAATGACAATAATACATATGATAATAATAATAAAATTACAAAGAAATTTTAAATAAATACAAATAAACATCATCAATTTAAAAAAAAAAACAAAGAAAGGTATATTTATAAAACCTGCAATGAACCACCATAGGTGCGTTGTTTGAATTTGTTTTTGTTCTGATAACGTGGTTGTGGAAGATGATTAAACACAGTGGTTCTGGCGTCCCATGATCTGGCCAGGCTGTGTAGTGATACTGTGTCAAAATACGTGACTCGTTCATCTGTCATGTTATAAAAATCATATGTTCGTATTAAAAGGTTTTCAAATGAATATTTACAATGTAAATGTATACTTATGGTAATTTATTTTGAAAAAAAAGATGAGTACATGAATAAGAAAAAAATAGAAGTGCATAAATAAATTTATTACATTTTCAACAGTGAAATACTGTGATTTATTTATTGAATAAAACTGATATTCTCTCACAGTGTGAAAAGGTACCAAAGTGATATTCTCTCACAGTGTGAAAGGATATCAAAGTAAGTAAAAAATAATTTCTGGCCTGTCATAAGATAATAACTAAACCGTCTTGACAGAGACTAAAACTACCAATTTCTTCCCAAATATGTTGCTAAAATCCATGTTACAATGTTTTCAATCTCACAATTGCTATGACGTCTCAACCGCTCAACTATTACGTCACACCTATGCCACTATGTTAAGAAAAGACAGAGGCAAAGGGGAAAATCAAAGAAAATGTAATAAACAGAAAATTCAATATTTTGCAGTTGGATATGGAATTTATTTCACTCGTGAAACAGGATTTTTTTGATGTTTTCACTCATGTTTCGCACTGGAGAAAATATCAAAAAATCCTGTCCCACTCGTGAAATACATTCTATATCCAACTACAAAACGATGAATATCCTCTATATATAAAATAACGAACTAATCCAATTTTTTAAAAATAAAAATGAAAACCGTTCTTATACTCTGTTTACAAAAAAATGTCACTGATAAAGGGCTCTTACTAATTCAAGAAAAGCATTATATTAAATAATTAAAGATTTCAAATGAAAAGAAGAAATTCAGAGAGACAGTTTATTAAGTGAATACTCTCCCAAACCTCCTTGTTCATGACTTTCAATTTCCGAATTACATAGAATGCATATTCCCTTTCTTCCATCCATTTGACCAAGACAACACCATAACTAACGTCTTTGCCACTGTCAGGCCAGTATTGGGTACACTTAATCTACAGTATATTCATTATAAACAATATGTTTACTTATTGCATTCTCAGCGGTGAAATACTGCAATTTATCAATACAATACAATCGATGTTTTCGTAGAGGTATGATTTTCACTCTAAAATTAACAAAAAAGAAAACACTCCGTTTAGATAAAGACACAGCGGATAGAATTTATTGTAATCTCATTCTTTTTATTTGTTTCTTTTAATTTTAATTCGTGCTTCCAACTCGTGAAAAAAAATGTAATAAAAATCATTCCCACTTGAGAAAAAAATTCCATACCCAACTTCAAATCATTAAGTATTCAAGATAGTAATTCCGTTTGAGACAAGCAAATATGATATTTGATCGTGAGAATAAAAAAAAAAATACTCATTGTTATATTGGATAAAATGTATTGAAAAACTTGAATATCTAACCCATTTTTTCTTTAAGCAATTGTAAACACATTTTTCTTCTGTCAACTAAATGACTTAAGCGTAAAATTACTGAAGATTATAAAATTATATTTAAGGGTCATGTAGTTTTCATTTTGCCTTTGGAAACAAAAAAATAAATAATGCGATAAAAATAAAAGCCAAAAAACCCCTTACTTTTTCTCCTTCTCTGAGGTTAGTCAGCATAACGATATTGGATATATTCTCTTGCCAGATCATTGACCAGAAATCTTCCAGTGTATTTTCTTTTGGTCCTTTTAAAAAATAAAGGTATTTGTTGTATCGCAGTATGTTTTTTTTCTTTGCTCTTCTACAAATCAAAATCAAAACTAGCGCTCCAAAACTTTGGTTAAGGGCATTGATTAAAATACAAAGTGTCTGTATAAACACCGCATTATACATTAAAATTTAAATAAAGAATTGTTAGAAAAATATATGAATTCAAGTGGTAATATGACTTGACTTAAAGTCAGAGTATAAATTCGTTTTGTTTTCCTCTGCAAAGACTTGAAAGCCATTTTATGTAGAATTTTTACTTAAGAAAGGGTTTACTACCTTGAGCAGCAATATACTCCTTTTTCCGAGTAGGCCCCTGGGAAAAAAATATGGAAGTCTTTATATTACAAAGCAGATTACATTTTCTTTCTCTCACGCTCTCCAGCCCCTTTTTTCGGTCGTACACTTTCAGTAATAATACTCCTGTATGTTACTTTTAAATGAAACTGCATTGTGCAAATTGAAAAAAAAAGAAACTAGAAACTAGTTGCGAGCAACGAGATGTCTTCCGTCCTATTCTCCATCATTGTATTATTATGTGCAATTAAACATATTCATATATGCTTGTAATAGTGTAACACACAGGAAATGCGAACTTTAAAAGAAATAATTTTCAAGGAAAATATCACAATGAAATAGGTGGCTAGAATTCAGCGCAGATGTTTGAGAAAACATTTGATCAAAATTATTGCTCAAAGTTCATTTTACGACATTGCAGGCAATACATTTTTTTCCTGAGATGACCAGGAACATATTTTATTGTTTAAACAAAACAAGGAGGGGGGTACTCATGAACTCGATTTTTCATTTTTTTTTTCTAGCAAAGAGTTTGAATTTATTACAGGTACTCACAGATCAGATGACTGAAGGTCCATAATTCAATGTCAAATTACTTATTTTATTACCTTTGCAGGACAGAGGATTTATATTTTCGTAAACGGATTGTTCATTTCCAAAAATGCCATCTTCCCTGTCCTTAATTGTCAAATTACCCCTAAGAAAGTCATAAATTTCTTTTTAGAAATTGGACAGAAAAGGCCTATTTGTATTAATTTTATATTAAACTACAATTAAAATAATATCATTAGTCCATTAGATGAATCATTAACACTTTGCCTAAGAGAATGACCAAGGTGGATTGAAATTCAACTGCAAAGAAAATTTTCAATAAAATGTTTTCTCCGACGTCCGCAATAAACTCAATGTGGATGTCTGAGAAAACATTCAATTCAATTTAATGTTTTTTCTCGAACGTCCGAGCTTTAATTCGACGCGGACGTCTGCGAAAATATTGGATTGAGATTCTACTTTTAAAAAGCATTTCAATCCAGTTTTGAAAACAGATAAATATCTCAAAGTTTGGATTTATCAATTTGCAAACAAATTATATATTAAGCATGCTGAAAAGAATCTCTATAATTCGCATAAATTTCATTACAAAATACTGAGAAACGTAAAAGTTGAAAAATTGAACTATCTTAAATTCGCTTCTGGAAGCGACCGGAAGTATTGACGACGTACGAAATGTCACGTCTTGGCTAGTATATATCACGATCTATAATCCCCTTAAAGTTTCAGATTGATATCTTTTACCGGCGTTGAGATTATCCGTGGACATAATGTCATTTTGAATTCAGAAAATGGTCTACAACTTGGCACCAGAAGCGAATTTTCAAATTTTCTCTCGGATAGAATAACTTCAGCTGCTAACGCATTGTTCCTGTAAATTTTATTAAAATCTATCCAGTAGTCTTTGAGAAATCCCGTGCACAAAATTAGATGGGCGGAAAAATAATAAGAAGAAGAAACAGTAGAATCACTATAAGGTCTTCCGTGAAGACGGAAGGCCTTAGTAAGAATGCCTTCATTGTTTTCACTGAGTAATCATCATTATTTTTAGATACAAATAATATACATTTCCTTGATATTTCAAAATATGGAAGGCTATTTCAACAATGGCAACATTTCTTTTTGTACCAATTGTATATAAACCATCTGACACTTACGTACAAGTAATGTTGGAAAAAAAAAAAAAGAAAATGAAAATTTTGTGAATCATTAAAGATGCTTGCATTTGTCTACAATTATTAAATTCATGTTAATTCGTTGTTATAATTTTTGCTCTCAGAAATACAACTAATATCTAACTCAATATACTTTGCTACTTACGTCAATGTAATTTGCATTTATGTAATCTGCATTTTTACCACTTGATCTAAGTATTACTCGAGAATGATCATCTGCAGGAAGAAACAAAATTTGATTTAAAGAATGCGATATTGATAAAATGATATTTATCGCTTATTGTTTAAACCGTTGTCACATATTTAAAAAACTGAAAAAGATGAGGAGTCAACTGACTTGGTAATTTTGAAGCTTGAATATCTATCAACATTTACAAGTTCTATCTATTATCTTTATTTTTGCAATAGCTTAAAGTGTAGAAATATGGAGAGAGAAAAATAATAATAATAATAATCAAACACCCTTCAGGAACATATTTTTCCATAAAATTTAAATAATACAGCAGAAAAAACATATTATTGAATATGTTAATTAAAACGTACAAGGAAATGTCGTTTTGAATCTGTTCTTTGTAACATTTTCTTTTAATTTTCCTGCATCGCATTTATGTACTTCGCCTGAGGGAAATGTCTGGAATTAAAATCAATAGTGGTATTTGTAACATAAAACATTTAAGCAAAATTCATCAGGACGAAGTCCTTGAGTATGTCAATGCTAAAGCTGATAATTTGATTTTTCTAAATTTCCACTGCGATAAGACGCATGAAGTAAGACTTAAAATTCACGTTTTCTTATTCTCTTTATTTATTTATTTTATTTTTTATTTTATTTCTATTTTTTTTTAATCTAAGATTTAAAAGAAAACTTCCCGAAATCGATAAAATCGTTTTTATTTAAGTTTTTATGCTAATAATGTCGCAATGAGTTAATTTTTCGATTGATCATGTCATATCTGAGTATCAATTAAAATCAGTGAATATAACGAACAGTGATTGATCTCAACTATTCTAGAAAGAACATAAATGCATGATAGGGCATAAAACACTGACCTCGGAAATTCCAGAATTGGGATCTGGCTCCAGGGCCATAAAACTTAAATGAGCTTAATTTTGATCTCATTCTCTCTTTTGCACTATTAATTCCATCAGTGACACTGAAATCAAAATTAAACCCTCTAAGTTTCATGTCCCCGGAACCAAGTGCTAATGAGAAGTAAGCACTCCCTGTTGACCCGTCACACCAGCCTATGTAATGTTCAGGTAGACAGGACATTACATAGCCAAATTTAGTATTAAAAAACAAAGGCCTAACAATTGGAATAAAATCCGTCATACAAAATACGACCAAATGATAGATAATAATTGATATTAGACGTATAATATATTAACTTGTAAAGAATTTTCGGTCAACACGGCATGTCAACAACATTTGTCTAAAACGGAGGCCTGGATATAAAAAAGTGTAAATATTGTATGATTTACAATGAATCATTCCAAGACACAATAATGTAGAAGGAAGAGGACCTACATTCTTGCTGACTAATACTAATTAATGCTAATATATTTCAGACCGAAGAACTGAAAGTTTAAGACTTATTTAATTTAATTGGAATAGGAACACTAGGTCTCCTGATCTAAATCATTTTATTGTTCTTTCGTAAGATTGTGTGTATAAACATGTATATTTATTTAGTTTAAAGTCTTCTTATTAATCATAAATATATATTTTATGGGTATAAACTTTTTTTTTTTCAAATACAGTGTTTTCTAATGTCTTACAATGTATTTTTTCAAAGCACATGATCATGAGTTAAACGAAATTTAAATATATTAATCTGAATTTTGATAAAATCTAGCATCTTCGTGTTTATGTTATATTCATATTATCGAAAGATTGTGGTGAAACCATAATAGCTGATCAAAGTCGTTTTTAGAGAACAGAAAAAATTCAAGGGAAATAATCGTTTCACATTGAGCTGAAACCTTAAAGAAATGCATGTTATGATTTAAATTGTGTGATCTAAAAAGTTTGAACTTGAACACATTGTTGACTACATTCAGGGATACCTTAAATAAAATATACTGTTACTCAATATGATGGCCCTTGTAGTCTTGAATAATTTCAATTCAGCAATTTAGTTAAAATCATAAACGCTATGCCTTCCCTATTGAAGTAGGATAAGTATAGTTTTTGAAACCTCACTCTTTGATAGATAAAAAGAAATCTGACCATGGGTTGTTTAAAAAATACTGCTATCAATTTTGAAAATTCATTCATAAATAGTATAAATATTTTCTTTAAAAAATGAGAAAAACAACGATGAAGAATCAAAGAAGATAGAAAAAATTGCTAATCAAAAAATGCAAACAGTTTGTAATACCTACATCGTTGGAAATCTCTTGAATTAATAGAAAATATACTGGACTCACTGCATATTCCTTCCGAAACCCTTCATATTCATTCTTCCTCTTTTCTGCAATAGCTGCGCCGAGTTGATTAACAGGTATAGCAGATTGATTTGGCTGGTTCATATACAAATCATCAGTTGCACCATCAATCCATATACCTTCTCTTCCATCATTCATTAATGCTTCTGTGTTCAACTTATCATTTGAATTATCAATTTTATGTTCTTTGTTTTTTGACTCCAGTGCTGCATTTGCGTTTGCATACATATTTCTATTTTCAAATCCACTGGGGGTATCTAAAATATATGTTTACAAGCCGTAGACTTTTATCCACATTTATGCCTTATCAACATTTATGCCAATATAAATTCATATTTTAATTTTAAAAACCTTCATAAACATTTATTATACAAAATTGGGATTAAGTATCCTTACAGTATTACCATTTGTCTCTTAATATAACAAAGAAAACAAATTATTTACAAGATTCTACTTAGCTCTTCATTCAAGTGTTACATTGCATTTCATTTATTGAAAACAAAAATCTAAAACCTTACCTTGCACAATTATAGAGTTTTTCATTCCTTCCTTAGGTTTTCTGTGTCTAATTAGAAATAGGTTTTTATGTATGAGAATAGAATTGAGGTGTTTAAGAACAAAGACAGTGGAATTTCATAATGCTAGTGTGTACTAGGTTTTACAATGTTGATTGATTGTTTGTTTGTTGTTTTACGTCCCGTTCGAGAATTTTTCACTCATATAGAGACGTCACCATATACCGGTGAAGGGCTTCATATTTAGACATTCACTCGGCACTCAGGAACATTGAGCAGTGAGGGTTCTTTAACGTGCCAACGCCTACCGTGACACGGGGCCTCGGTTTTTAAGGTCTCATCCAAATTACCCGCAACTTTCACTTCAAAGTGCTGAGCGCTTGGCGAAGGAACAGTTGCTACCTATTTTTTTCGACTTAGGTCAGTCGCGGTCATGATTCGAACACACAACCTTCCAATCACGGAGCGAGCGCTCTACCGACTGAGCTACCTTGACGTTTTTACAATGTTGAATAATACAACATATTTTTCACGAATTTTAGTCTTTTCTCAATAACTGTTCAGTAATTCAGTTGCATTGTTGCATTATATCCTTTTAAATTTTAAAGTGTATTATTGATAGCGGATAGATTTGAAATGCATATCTAACACATACACGAGAGAGAGAGAGAGAGAGAGAGAGAGAGAGGGAGAGAGAGAGACCGTTACCTTCTCAGAAATATAATTAACAAGACTGAAGTTATTAATACGACGACGCCAAGAATAGCCCCAACTACGACTCCCGCCTTTGGAGATTTCTCTTTCTCTGAACTGTACATTGACATCTGTTAACGAAAAAAAAAATCCAGCAAATTTGCTTTCTTAATTGTAAGTTATTTTAGAAGTTTTAGTATATTGAAGGTAATGAATTCAATTTAGCAGTTTTTTATAACTAAATGTAATATTCTACAATAATGCAATTGAAATTTGTGTTTATCAAAACTATATAAATTCGTCACTAGACTGAAATGATAATTTCTGAAATCCCTTGAGTCATCTGAAGATAAGTTTAATTGCAGGAAAACATAAAAAGCAAATAAAAGCTCACGGAGAAAGAAATATATATATATCAACGTTGATTTATCTTATCAAAATATTTGTCTCTTAAAGTCATTTTTTTCCTCATGACTTTGCCAGGAGGGTGCCCATACGAAAAAAAAATCTTATTTCTTAAAGTACAGGGAGAAATATGACATGCAAGTAAGTACAGATATAATGGATGCATTTTTCGCGTTTAGACACGTTTAATAGATATATGATACTGAACTTGTCATTCGCTTTTTCTTTTTCATTTTATCTTGTGAAAAAAGTCATGCTTTATTAATTAAGAACATTAAATAAGAAAACCTACTAAAGCACATGATCCGTTTTGTGGGTTACACTGTCCATTGATACACAATGAATGGCATTTCTCCGTGCAGTTAAAGCCGTGATACCCCTTGCTACACACTAAAAGAGAGTTGATATAAACTACCAAGCAATGAATACATATTCATAATATGAGGCCCATGAGCCACAAGGCTCACCTGAGTCAATATGGCCCTGCTGTTCTTCGTCAGCATATTTCTTCTCCTATATATTCATATGAAAAGCTTTGATCGCCTGTTCTAGGCATACCCTTCCCTCAGGTGCCATGTTTTGAATGAAATTGAATCTAAACTTTCTGAGGATGCTTCTATATTCACATAACTAATCATAATTAATCATGCATGGCTTTGCTGTTCTCGAAAACGGAATTATAACGATGACTGCCACCCTACCCGGGGAGGGGGGGGGGGGGTTCATGATTTGAACAAACTTGAATCTACACTACCTGAGGATGCTTCCATATCAATATGACTAATCATGGCTTTGATGTTCTTGAGAATAATATTTTTAAAGATATTTCTTTTGTAAAACATTGACCTCCCATTATAACCTCACCCTACTACTGGAGGATGCCTTGAACAAACTTAATGAATCTACACTACCCGAGGATGATTCCATATCAGTATGACTAATTGTGGCTTTGACGTTCTTTAGAAGAAGATTTTTCAAGATTTTTTTTTCTATATACTGTAAACCAACATTTATTCGCGACGACTTTATTTCGCGATTTACCGAGGGTAAACTAGTTCGCGACGATTAATTTTCGCGATCAAGTCTTTTTTTTTTTTTATCTGTTGTTAATAGAAAGAGAGACTTTAAGGACCGGTTCACGGCGAGAAATATTCGCGATGACGAGGCTCTCGCGAACCTCGCGAAAATTTCTCGCACGCGAATAAAAGTTGGTTTACAGTTTTCCTATGTTAAACTTTGATCCCCACCCTACCCCCGGGGGTCATGATATGTACAAACTTCAATCGACAATACCTGAAGATGATTCATTATTAATATGACTAATTGTGGCTTTGCTGATTTTGAGAGGAATCTTTTTCAAGATTTTTCTATTTAATCCTTTGCAAAACTTTGATCCCCCATTGTGGCCCACCCTACTCCCGGGGTCAAGATTCGAAGAAACTTGAATCTAAACTACCTGAGGATGATTCCATATCAATATGACTAATTGTGGTTTTGTTGTTCTTGAGAAGAAGATGTTTAAAGATTTTTTTCCCCTATATATTCCTATGTAAAAATTTTATCCCCCATTGTGGCCCCACCCTACCCCGGGATCTCATGATTAGTACAAACTTGAATCTACACTATCTGAGGATGATTCCACATCAATATGACTAATTTCAGCACAGTGGTTCTTGTAGAGAAAATTTTTAAAAGATACCACCAAATTTTCAATAATTCTTAATTATCTCCCCTTGAAAAAGGCGTGGCCCTTCATTTAAAAAACTTGAATCCCCTTTACCCAAGGATGCTATGTGGCAAGTTTGGTTGAAATTGGCCAAGCGGTTCTGGAGAAGAATTCGAAAATGTGAAAAGTTTACAGACGGATGGTCAGACAAACAGACAGACAGGCGGACAGACAGACGGACGACGGACAAAATGTGATCAGAAAAGCTCACTTGAGCTTTCAGCTCAGGTGAGCTAAAAATTCTTGACATGCTTAAATCATATTCATTTAAACTTCACATGTAATTTTTTAAACTGTATCTTTATCTTATTACCTAAATTAATATTTTAGAGTGAAGAAGAAAATAAATACTGTTGATTTCAAATATATTTAGGTATATTGCTTAATTGTCTAAAATTATTTATTGGAAGAATGGATGAATGAATAAAATCGCATCTATACTAAAGATGTTTTTTTTTTTTTTTTTTTTTTTTTTTTTTTTTTTTTTTTTTTTTTTTTTACTAGGTTTTGATATCAGTATGGTATCTTTGTTTATATGTATAACCAACTTGCGAAGTGAGTTTTATCTTGTATCATAACAACATACATTTCTAATGTCACATGACTTCGGTCATGACGTGACGGTCACATAATATTTCCTAAATGTTGCATAAAAACATCTCGGCGCAAGTGATATAGAAAGTTATTGTGAACTTTTTATAAATAAATCAATAATACGTATCCTATTGTATATATAAAGTACTGGGGGCAAGTTTGAATTTTATTTGTATGGTAAATATTCCATGAGAACCTCGTCTTACACACACATTTGAGGGTATTTTTCACTCTCTATCGCAATTTATACAAAATAGGCTATAAATCATATTATCCCCCAGCAAGATTCAGTAAGAAAACAAATATCTCTTGTAGATTAACACAGAATATTTCCAATTTATCTTTATAAATCATTTGTGCAAGTCAAATATATAAACGATCTATAAATTCTAACTCTGTCTGCTGACGTGTAACGGGATGAATTTCACATTCTACTTTTTGGTATTGTTTGAATACACTGTATATCAGACAAAATAAAGGAATTCACGATATTAATGCAAAAATTTACATCTTAAGGTCAATATCTAGTAAATGAAAGGTGCCTACAGATTTCTCAAATTTGAGAAACAAATTCCTTAAATGATGCTTTATAACTTTAGTTTGGTCAAATAAGGTGTTTCGGGGCACAATTCGTAGGTAAACTAGACGAAAAATCATATCTTAAACTGTCAATTTCAATGAGTTTTTTTTTCCATATCAGACAAAGGAAATGTAGCCAGATTGCCTACAGTCCATCAGAAAGCGGTAATTTGTATGTTCTTGGCCTCTTCTTTAAAATAATATTAAACTGAATATAGGTATCGGGATTACTTTTCACATGATTTCAAATTGAATTCCATGAAAATACTTTATTTTCTACATAGTTATATTAGAGCCGTAAAGTATGGGAAAAAGAAAGTTGAAATTGATTATGACGTCATAAGGGATCTAGCATCAAACAGCACACCGAAACTTAAAACAATAATCAAGACACCTGAATTCAACATTAACGTAAAATACTATCTACATTTCACAAGAGAGGGACGTACAAATTATTATACTTCCCCCGTCATGTCAGCTCAATATGATGAGCTGCAGTGATATGATGCCATATACCATTATGACGTTATATCTAGGTAGTTAAGAAAAGTTACTACTGCAGGTGCACTGTAATATTTTACGGACAGCCTTATCCTAGGCGAGATCTTAATTAATCAAAGCTACATATAATTTAGGGGTTTTATCTGACATTTGAAACAAACATCCAAATATAACATTTACAAGAAAGGATTGAAATCAGAAGTTTCTTATCTATA